ATGTATTATTAAGGCTGTTGTTAGATGCAGTCAATCATGTGGTTTTGCATTTCTATTGCCTATTACACATTTTTACTTAAATGTGAGAAAGTTAACTGTTCGGCTCCATTTATACATATTCCCAAATAGGTAACAATAATCTAGGGCAGGGATCAGCAAAGGTTTGTAAAGGGCCAGACAGTAAATATTTTAGACTTTGAGAACTATATGGTCTCTGTTGCAACTACTCAACTCTGCTGTTGTAGCACAAAAGCAGTCAGACAATAATACATAGCACCCTCTCTCTTTTCTTGGTTCTGGAACAACAGAAATGAAATAAAGTATTGTCTTTATAAACTGGAACTGCTATCATAGAAATCACATAGAGCGCTTTAAATGGTTTTCTTTGATAGACAATTATTGTAAACAAATCAATAATAGCACTTAACAGTCAGGATATGGAAATAGTGGAGTTCCACAGAGCATTTATCAAATAGGGACTTGTTGAGTAATTGTGTGAGAAATGGAAATATTAACTTACTTAACTGCCTGAACTTTTGTTCCACTGAGAGTATTTGACATTTCTTGCCTTTCTAAATAAAGTGAGTTTTATTTATATATATGTGAGAGCTCTCTCCTTATTCATCTGTCTCACCCCTAATACCCAAAACATGGCCATGCATAAAGAACGAGTTGAAAAATATGTTTTCAGTCAGGGCTCACAATTAAGTAGCTTGTGAAGCTGACTTGTTTTGTTTGGCCATTATCAAGTTTTTAAAACTGAGTTTAAATGTCCTTAGGTAGGGTATTCATCCTCCAACTCATTACACACCCTACTGATTCCTACTGTTGAATACCACTTCACCATTTGTTTTCTCTTCCTGGCCAGTAAGGCATTTTAATTTGTATCCCATCATGTTAAATAAAAGGAAAAATTATTGCAAATTACTCTTCTATCTATGCCATAATTTGCTAACCTATAGTACTGAAGCCTCTTTTACCTGTCTGTAATGCTTCAATGCATACTTTAATAAAATTGCCTTTTTAAGAAAATGTTCTAGGGCTGGCCGAGTAGTCAGTTGGTTAAGAGCTCGCTCAAGAGTTCGAGCTCTGAGCAACAGCGGTTCGATTCCCAGCCTGAGCTGAGCTGCCGCTGAGCTGCCAACAGGTGGCAGGATGGCTCAGCTAAAAAAAAAAAGAAAAGAAAAAGAAAATGTTCTATTCCCTTGGAACAATACAGAAAGATATGCAGAAGATTACACAAAATATATAACACAAGTGGATTTATAGGAAAGAAATATATGGAAATTCACCAAAATATCAGGTTATTAATCTCTGGGTGTGAGATTATGGATTATTTTTCTTCTTCTTTTTTTTTGTGTATTTCCAAGGTTTCTACAGTGAGCATGAATTATATCTATAATCAGAAAAAAAGATTTTGCAAAAAATAAATCTTTCACAAATAAAAGTTGACTGTCCTTCCTGTGCTAATTTAAATTTGGGATGAGGAAAAAA